GGATTCTCCTTCAAATATTACTGCTGGGCAAGACACGTGCGACCTATGCAAACCTTACGGCGATGCAACCAATCTATGCGCGTCGCACACGTTTTGATGCAGCAACGAAGCAAGGCACTCCTCGCTTCTATTATATTTGAAACTTTCTTGCGAGGAAAATATTGTAAAAAAGACTTATAACATGAATTGTATTAATAAACAATTATTGACTGCCATTTTATATTACACTATATCGTATTGTAACACCTCATTCACAGATTCTGTATCTTGGTTGGCCGAAAGTGTGTCATGTGACGCTTGCTAGTTTTACTATTTTTATACCAATGCTTCAAAAAGACTTTACCATGCAGCCTCATTCTGAAAAAGACCTATACCCGTAGCAACCAAAGAATTGTATCCGTTATAGCAACGAAAGCATAGGCGTGTATTTCGGCTCATAGCGAACAACATTAATTAATAAATGTATTGAAACGTTGCTGTTACGCTTGGAATTCTTGAATTAAATTTGATGAATGTAAATTCCAGTTTGGTGTTTCATTATTGATTTTTAGCTCAAATTTGCAGAATCTGTAAGGAGGTGTTATGAAACAAACATTGACTGCTTTATCTCGCGGTACACTAAAACTACCTACCCTAGGTGATCTATTAAGCAAAGCCGATAGGGAGGCTAATTTTACTATACCACTCGAAGCAGTCAATATTTGTTTAATATATAACTGTACACGAAGCCCTCACCTACCAAGGCAGACAGCTCCATTACGAGCGAGTCTGTAGCCTTCAGCGCAAGTGCAAATCTTCTTTCCGCTGAGCTGAGAGCAAGAGGTTGAACCTTGTCCGCAGTCACACGGGAATTCTACAACAGAGGTATTTCACAGTTCTTACATAAAGGAATAAACGTGCTTGGCAGGGCTTAATCGTGCCTTTTAAGACCGGCTTAGGAGAATGAACACGGTTAACGCCCAGACCTGCGGCTCAGGCATTAGTCACGTCCATTCTCCTGAGCCGGCCTTAAACGTTAACACCTACAAAGCACATTACTTATTCCCATGAACAAATACCTTTTCAATCAAGTGCCAAAAGAAGTTAATATACGATAAATTTCCAAGGATTTTATTCAAGAATTTTACTTTTATTTTTCCTAAATACCCGATCCACTCTTAAGACTACAATCAATAAATTTACTCATTGATCTCCTTTATAATGAAGATCAATAGATATATTCCTTGTGCAGAGGACTTGGCGTGTCCATGGTGAGTTAGTTCTGCGTGCCACGGTGCACACAGACTCTCGACCAGAGAGATCATAGGGTGCTTTCGATTAGCTTACATGTGTAAGTCAAACTTACACGAGAGCGTTCGTTTAGCCATCACGTGATCTTCGTGCCTGCCCTGGTGTCAGCCAGAGGCTGCCCGCGTGTAATGACGTCACGGTTGGACTGTTCGAGCATGGACATGATGGAACGTGGCGGGGACTTGACCTTTTCCCCAGAATGCCTTGACAAATACACTGCAGCGTGCGATTAGCCTCATTTCGAGGCTTCCCTTGCGTGTAACAATGGTGTATTCAGGGAAGCTAATCGAATGCACCGATAGTAAAGTAAATGCTCGTCACGTCTCATGCGCTCGTGCGCGTTTCATACATACGCGTAGGTATCTGCGACGTTCCAAGTTGTTCGTGCGTAATGGGACAATTTTATGTGCCCTGCGTCACCTCTACTAGTTCTACTTATGATCTCTATAGAGTACCGAAGTGTCACGTAACTGTGAACCAGAAAGTGCAGTGCAAACGAATAGAGTACGCGCGCGTTGGTTCACGCGCTGGTTCTCGCGCTAATGCCTTTTACACACTAATTGTGCGCGTGGCATATTCACTTCGGTACTCTATGCTCTTGACCAATCTGCCCCACAGACGTAGATCACAGAATACACTAGATCCTATTCAAACTACAGGAGTAATTTATGTGGCTCCCGACTAAATTAAAAACTATGGACAAATTCACCCCTCTGTTTTTTTTATAGGGAATTTACGCGTAGTTCTAAAGGACTCTTCTAAAAAAATTTATAGGATTCTTACAGGATTCCTATAGAAATCATAGAGGTATCCTGTAGCATTGTAATAAAAAATCCTATAAGAAGTGACGAAAAATCTATAGGAATCCTATAGGATAAATCCTATGGGTTTTATAGGATTTTTCCTATAAGAATCCTATAGGTTTTTTGTAGGGCACACATGCAGTTGAAGAATTCTAGCCCCAAAATTCCATGAAGCCGTTTTCGAATTGTGAAAAAAATCCCTTACTTGACTTAATCTGACCCATGTACAGTTGAAAATGATGCGTTTGCAACATTTCAAAAGATGAGATAACGGTACCGAAGAGCAACAAAGGTAAACATATTTTGGGAGCACGTGTAAACAAATGCAGGCAATGTAAGTGCGTTGCGCGTTGAACTTGCTATGATCCACCGTTCCGCCCATTGTTTGCCCATACTTTTCAAAATGACGGTTATACGCGCAAGATGGCGGTCTATGCGTTACATGTCTGTGATCTTGCCTGCGTTGAAGTGTAGCCTCACTGGCGAAAGAAAGACAGATGGTAACGAAGTTTGCCAACCGGGTTCTTGCACGTGTACGGTGTGCACGCGAAGACCATAATTATATAAATTTCAGAATAAATACGTTGCGTGTACTCAGCGTGCTCCGCGTCAAATGCGCATAAAGTTGCACACCTATGCGTAGAGTTTGTACCAAAGGACTGTCAATTTCATTTTAAAACACGCCCTCTTTTGTTCCCGCTCAGAGCGGATAGAAATGGGTTAAACTGTCTCGTATCCATACAGATACATATATAAATAGGTATTTTTGTATGCAGCTCTATGGCTGTATCCAGGTACCAGCGCGTTTTTACGCAGCGGGCGTTATCAGATGTTAATACGCGCTCAAGTTGCGCGTTGTTGAATAGGGAAACTGTCAAAGGTATTTATAAATAGTGTATAAATGTAGGCCTACCATGCAAGGAAATTTCAGAAACTCCTCTAGCTGGCCTAGATGTACTTGGTCCTGTATTCTCCTGAAACATCCTCATGGGATTTTGTCTACATCATTGGGAGCTAGGTATGGGCGTCTTCAATCGTTGTCACAGTGTGGTTGTATTTAGTAAGTTAAGGAGATTTGCAGTAGCACCGTAGGACCATGCAAGGACATTTCGGACAGTGTGCTGGGTGTGGTTGTGATAATTGTCCTTGTGGTGTTGAATCTGTGATGTGCTTTGGCAGGTCGTTCCATAATTTCACAGTCATGTGCTTTTGCCAAAAAGAGAGACTAGGTCAGAGTCTCAGAGCTGTTTATCAATTAAAACCAGGCTTTGTACCTAACAAAGTGACTATCTGCTGTTTTGTAGGCCCACGTGTTCATTTTAAAGGTAAGCTGATAAAAGCCATTGAAATAAATTTAATTGTCCAAGTGAATTTGGAATTGGAACAAGAAAAAGAACACACAAAAGATCGGCTGTTGGAGCAAAGGGTACAGAGCAATATATCTGTAAAATCTGCAATCTGATAGACATTATGTTGAAACCTACCCACACAGCTGGCTTTATGTGGGGCCGGTTCGTAGCCGTCAGCGCAAGTGCATATCTTCTCGCCGTTGAGCCAGGAGCAAGCAGTTGAGCCCTGTCCACAGCTGCACGGGAGTTCTATAACAGACGTGATTCAATAATACACTCGTCAGTTTTTCAGAACTCCGAGAAAATTCCCAGCAGTGTTTTAATTTCTTAGCGAGTTCGCTTCTCCCACTTGAAGATCAAAGAAATGATTTTTAATCCCCTATCCCTGCCTGTTGCCTTTTGTCGCCTGCTTAATCCAATGCCATACCAGCACAATTCGTACATCTCTCTTTTATTGCAAACAGTTCAAATGCAACGCCTAAGTTCTAATAAAACAACCAGGCAACCCCTTCGATGAGACTACCTTCGCAAGACCGCTGGTCTGTAGCGAGACGAAGCCACCGTTCGGGGCAAGAGCAGCGATATGAGCCCACGGTATTCTGACACGTCCCTTGGCAGTCGTGAAGATTGTCTTGGCACTCGTTGACGTCTAGTGGAATCACAAAATTTACAAGTCATGCTTCAAAAAATTTCAATTATAAATTGGACAATTTAAAATGATTTCAACTTTAGAAAGATTTCAAATTAAAAATTTTCAAATCGAAAATTTTCATAAAGAGAAACATTTTTCTTTCATGGATTCACCAAACGATCTCTTCATTACTTTTATTTAACCAAACAATTTCTTGACTACAATGATCCAAAATGCACAGCATACTCTGCATATTATTCTAAAGAACATCAAAAGCATCTTTAACACAAGTCCTTTTTGGAACACAAATGTTGTAATTTTCAATTTCTTTTGATTTTTGAACATGAAGAATTCATTTTCATAACATGCAACCAAATTTCCTATTCATGTACATGCTTCCAGTGCCATATTGCACTTTCTTACTCTTACTAATAAATTAACTCCACAGAAAAGCAAATCCCAAAGCTAAAGACATATTCTTGCTTACCGGTAAGTAGCTATTGACATTAGAAAGTCCCATCTCTGAATCTGTTTGTACATCATTCAAGACCAACCTACCGATACAGCTAGCTCCATTTAGGGCAAGCTTGTAACCGTCTGCGCAGGTGCAGATCTTCGTTCCGTTAGGCTGGGAGCAACTGGATGAACCCGATCCGCAATTACACGGCCTTTCTAGATTAAAGGTTATAAAATGGGGCATTCTGCAATTTATTACGAGTGGAAATTAAAAGGCGGCATTTGTTATGAAGATGAACCAAATTAGGTTGTAGACGACTCGTGTTCTGCCTCACAGATGACTGTAAGTAACTCTTAGAATTTTGTACCAGTTTGACATTAAATCCCCAACTCCCTGCAAAACTGCTTTTGCAAAACTGCTTTTGCAGGTCTGTTTGTCTACAGCTAGGCGAAGCCACCACTGCCAGCAAAGAAGCAATATCAGCCCAAGGTGTGCTCATTCCAGTTCCAAATCCAGCACCATGCCAACCTACCTTCCATTTCATTTCCTTCATGCACGATTCAAATGCAACGCCCGTTTACTAATAAAACAACCAGGCAAAATCTTTCTTCCAAGACTACCTTCGCAAGACCGCAGGTCTGCAGCGAGACGAAGCCACCGTTGGGGGCAGTCACAGCTGTAGGAGCCCAAGGTATTGTGACACGCCTCCTGGCAGTCAGCCAGGCCGTTCTCGCTCTCCCGGCACTCATCAATGTCTATTGGGAAGAACCAATTGAAAATCTGAGTTACAGACGTTGCCTAGTTTAATATTTCTGAGGAAAAGTCACACTCAAAAGTTGAACTAATTGTTGTAACTGTTATTGTCACTTATACATTTTGTTGTTGGTTGTTGGCCTAACTCTCCATCGTTCATTCATCAAAAACATTCAGTACAATCTGTTTCATGTAAATGGTTCCTTTTATACTGAGAAATGAAATAAGCTAATGATAGCCATCAGTGAAACCATGCACCAGAACTGGTTCCAAATGGTCGACTATGATGGTCAAGATAATCTATCATTCGGGCGACGTTTGGTCAACTTATAGTTAACTACAGTGTTCGCTTAAATTTAGCAGGACTGGTCAAAGTGACCAAAAGCAAAGCACGTAACAGTTTGAGATTAAACCACAAAGTGTGAAGTACCATCACATCTAGTTCCATCAGAGCTGGCTCTGTACCCACGAGCACAGGTACACCTCTTTACTCCATCGATTTCTTCGCATCTGGTAGAGCCTCTCCCGCAATGACATGGAGGTTCTGGATCTGAGATACAAGAGGAAAAGTCAAGGAAAATTAATGATTCCATACAACAATTATGGGAGATTTTGTTTCCGGACGTTTTGCTTCCCTTTAAGTCATTCCGAAGCTGTTAAGTTTCTGTTTTTAATATTTTGACCATGCAATAAAGTAATTTTATACTTGCCAGTACAACGTAGACCATCACTACTCCGGCGGTATCCATCATAACAAATGCACATAGGCCTGGTGTTATAATTTCGCACGCATCGGCCGTGTGTACCACAGTTGCATTGGTCTTGATTTCCTGGAAACATAAATGTTACAAGTAAATTTCTCCTTTAGCCAAATAAGGAACAGCTGAACCGCCCATTTCTGATATCACGTCTTTTTCTCAATTGGTTAAACATATAGCTTTCCTGGCTTCCATATTTAAAATAAAAGATTCCTGTCTTAGCGAACACTTCCGTTTTCCGTGTTCAGTCATATCTTTGTTTATCAGACATTTCTGTGAAATATGTGTTGGATGATTTGTCAAAGCAAAGTCTCTCACTGTGTGTAGTGTTTGAGTATTAGTAAAACTTTTCCGAGTTTGAACAGGTCGCTGATCACGTTGGCCGCTCATCGTTCAAAACTCACCTCTCAAGAGCTGCTTTCTTTCATTCATAATATTGTCTCATCAGCCAAAATGTCTCGTATCTTTTCTCTTTTGATACCAGGTGCCACCCTGTCTAGCACACAATATCCGTATTTAAACAGTTGACCGAAAAGTAGATTTTTGACAGAACGCCAGAAGACTAGAAGTAGTGGTAATAACAATAAATTAGTGTTGGTATTGGCTAAATGCGTTCATGTATGGCCCAGAGGGCAAAACACAAGAATGTCACATTATGAAAACATTTAAAAAGCACAGCACAGTAAATACAAGTGTAACCTACGGTTTAGCCTTTGTAACAACGTCGGTAAATACATAATATTTTCGGGAAAAAATTAAAGGTTTCTCTTGTTACTGTTTTGATCGGGCATAAACAGATTAAAGGGTGAGCAATGCTGTGAATGTGCTTGAGCAACTTACGTAAACAGCTGGATTTGTCTTGTGCCAAATTGAATCCTGAGTGACAATAGCAGGAGAAGCTTCCAGGGCTGTTATAGCATATGTGCTGGCATGGACCTCTGCCATCGTTGGCTAAACATTCGTTGACATCTAGACGGATATAAACGAAGAAAATATTTGATCAAAGTGTTTCGTTTGCGTATTGATGAATTATGTATAATGTGATTCTTTTCTTTATATACTTCCAAGGTTGTTGGGGTTTATTTTTGTAAGATATCGAACTGTTTTCTTAGAAAGTAACGACAGACGGTAGGGCTAGGCACATTTTGCCCCGTACCATTTGGATCTGACTCTTCTCTTCCAGAAACAATAATCAATTGCGTTGTAGCAGAGAGTATATCTGCTATTTTGTAACCTTGAAAACAATATGTGGATATCAGTTCGTGTTGTACCTCGGCAAGTCATGCCGTCTGTACTTGCTGGTTGGTACCCGTCCCGACACGAGCAGACTGCACCGTCTGGTCCATTCCTGCAGATATGCCGGCATCCTCCATTATTGTAGCCACAGGTAGCTATGATGTAGGAAATATTCACACTTAGAATAATATTGTGGATGTTTTTTGTATTCTTTCATGGTTGTGAGTGTATTCTTGTCCTGTGCATGTCGATTTGAATTAACAATTTCGATCGACTTTATGAAAAAACCCACAGTTACACTAGAAAGTAATACTTTTCATTGCAGGAAGACACAAACGGTCTGGTACTGAT